TAAAGCATTCGTTGCAGCTACTCAAGCAGTGTGATGCTGCTCAATTATTTTAAATTTATTATGATAAACTCTTATGCTAGTAAAAGTGAGACTTCTCCAGAAATAGGTCTTCCTGATGTGATGCGGCTAGGGTGGCCTGTACAGCATCATACTCTAGATGCAAGTCAGAGCTCTCCACAGCTAAATTGCAATGTAATCCCTATCGCTTTGGGCTCTCTTCTTGACTACTAACAAATCGGACTTGTCCAAGATAAGGTATGTCTTCATGTCTGCTGCAGTGGTGGTTGTGCCTATGCAGCTAGTGTTGGGTGCCTTATCTGGGGCTGAATATTTTATTAAAAAGTGGGTTGTGAGGATGCTGACGCGATCTGGGTCTCATCATCAACCTCTTGTGATTGAACTTGGCTAGTGGAGTGTGTACCTTCAACATGCTACCGCTACTGCCACAAATGCATATAGGTTATATGGCAGATGTGACCTTCAGGGCAATCAATGTTTTTCCAGGATCATATTTCTAGTTTGTCTGCAGATAAAGCAAACATATTTATCAGTTTTTCGTTTATAAACAGGTTTTTGATACTACCAATATATAATATATGAGATGTATCTACCCTATTTCGTTTAAGGTGCTAAAGAGACTGAAAGTTGAATTTCCTCACTGATATGAGTAAATATTAAGCTCATCAAGCTAGCTTACCTAAAGGCTAATGTATCTCTCTTCCATTACATTAAAAAATTTCATTAATTTATTTAGGCATTTCAATACTTGACTGAAAAGTTGGCACCGTTAATATGGAAAATGTTATCCCAGACGTTCCGCTGACATCGTCAGTGAGACAAGTCTTGTCTGATGCGTTTTAGTGTGCTGTTTAAAATTGCAAGACTCAGGAAATTCAGGTGAAACGTTTGGGAATGTACCAAACATACGGTCCGATACTAAAAATTATCATGGATACTCGGGCAGAGGACTCCGAGCCAGTCGCCAAAATTAGGTCGAACCATTTGCATATAGTGAAGGATTTAATAACTTCTTATCCTCCGCGATCCCTATATAATAGGAGCAATTAAAATGGGCAAAACTCGCTCGATCAGAAGGAGTAGGCCGTAATTCGTGGGCTTTTTCATAATCACATAGCTTCTACCTGTGATGTTTTATACTCTCAAACACTGACGTTGAGTTTTGGCTACCAATCTTGAAGATACTTCTGAATTAAAATAAGTAATTTTAATATCATACTATTGCTTTAATGCTTAGTTTGAAAATTTTTACTTAAACCGAGTTGTGCTAAAGCCAATTTCTAAAATAAAATGCTGATTAATTGCTCAGTTCTTCCTGATAATCTACCCATCACTTGAATTACATTGCTATTTTTAATTTTTTTTTCTTTTTTTTGAAATATCTAAGCACAACGAGGACTATATAACGCCGTTTAGATACGCTGTAGGCCGGGACCTGCCCCATTCCACTATCGACGAACTGCTTGGACTGAAATGGCCTCTGCTTGCTCAGAACCAACATGATCAGGAGTTAGCAGCAGCCGCTGCTATACGTAGACGAGGCAGAAATGGAGCAACTACTGGTTTATGTGAGAACCAGACTCTTGCGCTCTTCGAGGAGAAAAAAAATCCAGAAGAGGAGATTGAGGCGACTTTTACTATGACTCATGCAGGTGGCTCTTCTGTCGATAATAATTTGCATGACCAAAAGGACCACCATACTTGTGATGTAGAGAAAAAAAATGCTAATGCGAAAGGTCCACGGGGTCCTGATCAGGAGAGAGGTACTCATGATCGTCTACATCGTTGGTGGCCCCGTCCCGAATACCGGTTGCCTGGATCTGGTATTGCTACTAACCTGTTCAGTGCACTTCAGGCAAGACGACTTCCTGTATGCTTGCTCAATGTGTTTACTTCACACGGCGACAACCGGGAGAAGGCAGTTATGATGCTCGAGCGCATAGTTGCTTGGCTTAAGTTGACTCCTACTGAAGGGACAGAAAATAAACAAGCATTGCCGGATATCAACAAGTTAGAAACTCAATCAGGTAGACTTTACAAAGCCTTACCTGGCTCGTTTTGGAGGACACCCGCATCATGGAAAATGTTTTATGGCAGTGAAATTAATTCTTGTATGTATTGAATACTTCTGGATTATAACCCCTGAAATGTGGTATCGTTTAGTGACTGCTTTGTATACTCCGATATTTGTATGCATATTATCTCTTCTATTAATTATAATCTTAATTGCTTAATAATTTTAATTTTACTTTCATGTTACGATGAGGCTACCGTTTATTTTCATATCTTGACCAATGCTGCTGGCCTAAAGTTGGTAAAGAACTCCGGCTAATTTTATTTACTCGCGGAGGCTAATATCTACTTGATATTCAGGAATTTACCTGGACCTCTACAATAAATACTTGAAAATATTTTATAGAAGCTTGACATAATGCACTTAAATACTTTATTTATAGTTGATTGGATGAGTGGAAGATCAAAATAGTGTTTGCTGAGTAGTGATTAAGTAACAAATCATCCATCTATCTAACAAAAAATTTAGGATTGTTGTGAAGACTTTCATTTCGTACCGAAGTACATGATGAAGAGATTCGTAGATCAATCTCACCATAGGACGCTGGCTGATTCACATTGTACTACAGCTGTTTGGCCTTAATACGGCGTTCAGGTTGATGCAGTACACGAGACATCCTTCAACGTTTCGGGCGATAATGGGCTGAGCTCTCATTCGTCATATGACGAACATCATCAGAGCTCGGACTCATTCTTGCAAAAGCCTCAAGTCAACTCTAAGTCAAGAAGACTGATCCGCTCTTTTCTATATGATATGATATATGAAAGATTATAATTAATAGAAGAGATAATATGCATACAAATATCGGAGTATACAAAGCAATCACTCATTGCGAGAAAAATGTAACATATGGACAGATATAGAAAGGTTTGGTTAATTCATATATTCTCGAGTGTGTTTGTGTTTATGTATTTTATCGTCTGTACGCAAAACCGGTCACAACTCAGAGTAATTAGAAAAAAGCTTAACGTCAGCCCCGGGTCATCAAGGCTTAATGTCCCAAGGAAAAAAGCATGACCGAGATTGCGTTAGTCTGTAAGTAACCCTGGTTGAATTGATGAAATGTAAGCCCATACACGTGAAACTCAGGTTAGGAAACCACTAGTCCGAACTCGTTAGTCTGGGTTATTTTGCCTTAATGATCTAAGAGGAACATGACTGAGTTTTGGTTGATGTGCTTGATATACCTGTTAACAGAGTGTGAGTTTAGTTAGAACCATCATTCAGCTGACAAGTTGAGTCATCTTATTTTGGATGACAGCTAAACGCCCTCTCTCCGCTCTTTCAATCAAGCATAAGTAATTCTTACTCAGCTTTATACCATCACTCCTCACATTCAACTTATTCTCTAATCTATTAATATTAATAGCTTCTTTTATCCTGCGTCTCGTAGCAGACATACCATAATCAGCAAACCTTGGAGTCCGAGACCATTCTATCTCGTGCCTAATCTCTTTCATGTGTTCCGCCACTTCTGATCGTTCGAGCCAACTGTCTTTACTCTCATTTTTGTGCTCCGCCAATCTTTGGAGAATCTACCTACATGTCTCACCAACATAAGGTCGGCCATGGGGGCACATAATCGTGTAACAGTCGAATCTTTATAGTGGGTTGTATTTCTCTCTAAAGGAAGCTATAACTGAAGAAAGTGTCGGAGTTTCTTTGTAAACTGTCTTTATCCCTCATTTCTTATGTAATCCTCTTATCATCTTGGAAATAAAATATGACAGCAAGATTAGCAACGAGAAAGGGTCTCGGCTTGCCTATCTCTGACCAAATAGTCTCCGTTTGGTTTCGCTTAAACCAAGCTTAGGGAAAGCACTACTAAGTTACACAAACTGATTAGAACCCAAAACCGACTAAGACAAACGCTTGCTCAGATTCTAAACAAGAAAGACTTTCTTGAGTTACAAGACATGGCTGACGGTTTGGCTGAAGCAATTTATAATATGACTGGAAGAGTTAATAATAAGAAGCTAAAACAATAGGGTATTAGAATCCATTCAGAGTACCTCGTACCTAAGGCAAAGTTTAATAAGGATAGGTCTAACAAATTTTGCGAAGATAGGATACTTAATTTATCCAGTACAGAGCTAGAGGATGGTGTGA